TCTGTGGCAGAAACAATAGCATTTCACGAGGGGAGTAAATGAATGCCTCTGTGTTACACTAATCTATTTAAAATAGAGTAGTATGGTGAGAAACAAAGGAAAAATGCACAACTTCCTACACCCCTGTCTTCCCAGGCTCAACACCACTCTTTTGTCCCAACTCTTCTAAAGTCCTACCTCCCTGAGTTGAGCAGGGACACAGGGAATGGGAGTTCTGGTCAGTTCATCACACGTCTCTGCCACTCCTTCCACCTTATGATGTTCCCCTGCTCCAGCATGGGGTCCTTCCCATGGGATACAGTTCTTCAAGAGCTGCTCCAGCATGGGTCCTTTCCATGGGGTGCACTTCCTCAGGAACAGACTGCTCCAGTGTGGATTCCCCACAAGGTCACGATTCCTGCCAGCAAACCTGCTCCCATGTGGACTCCTCTCCACGGACCACAGCATGGCTCCATCTGGGCCTGCATGGGCTGCAGGGAAACAATTTGTGTCCTTATGGTTCTCACCACAGGTTGCAGGGGAATCTCTGCTCTGGCCAGGAGTGGGTCCATTTTGGAGTTAGCCGAAAATGGTTCTTTTTTGGAAGTGAGTCACAGAATATTCTGAGTTGGAAGGGACTCACAAGGACCATCAAGTCCAACTCTTAAGTGAATGGCCTCTGCGGGGATCAAACCCATTCTGTTCAGCATGGGGGCAGGTCCTGGTGTGTTGTCACAAAAGCCATCCCTGAAGCTCCCCGGCTTGTTATGCAAACCCAAGTCTCTTATTCTGAACTGGTCCTGAAAATGTATCTCTGCACTGGATACCTGTTGGCAGGGTACCACAATTCTGTATCACAGAATGCTGTTTTAATTTTTTGAATAGCCATCTTGACCATATGGGTAAAAGTATTACAGAGAAGTAGCGGGAAGGAACATCCTGGCATAACAAAAAAAAAAAAGCTTTTTCTCTGTCTAGCGCTTTATCTATTGCCCTTAAAAATCTCTATATTGGACAATTGTTTTTTGGTAGTGTGAATGAATCATTTCACATCCATAGCAATAAGAGGCCTCAGTTGTCCATATCCTAGAGTGTCCCTGATTCAGACAGAAATATACTCTTTATGAGACCTTCAGCTTGGATCCCTGGGTGAGTGTACCCACCTTTGCTCTGTTCAGTCAAAGAGCAGTGCTCATGACCCATGTATGACTGAAGTTCTTGAGAGGCATTATATACAGCTTGCACTTACCTTGTGGCTGCTGCTGTTAAAATGTCAGCAGCACCACAGCTACTGGTTTATAGCAACCTGCACTTTCCTTTCTTACATCAAGGACTGCAGTTACAATGCAGTTGAGCTGAGCTCCTGGAAATACAGTAGAAACATCAACTTCACTACTAGGTTCTGAAATCTTCCTATAAGACTCCTTCTACAAAAAATGTTCCAATCATTTAGTATGTGCAACTAATTTTTTAGCTATAATTACCATAGTTCCTTAGCTGAGAGTTATCCACGAAGTGTTGCCATATAATAGGTGTATGCCTGAAGGTAAGAATGTAAGAGCATGCAACTCTTTACACCAGAAAAATTAATCTGGAGCCTTGGAATAGTTAGGGAACTTCTGTTTTTCAGAAAATCTAAACTTCTAAAACAGCCTGCAGATTTTGTCAGGACATTTTCAAAGTGTTGCTTAAGTTTAGATGGGTAACTTCTCATGGACTTCCCAACTCACTGAGTTTTCTAACCATCAAAGTAGATCAGTGCAGTGCTTTTTGTGAGTGGCACAACAAAGTGTTTCAGCAACTTGACATTTTTTATTGATCCAGTCATCACCATTCAGACCAGAGGCTGGTTGTGCTTGTTTAAAAAGCCAAACCCAAACTCTGTAACCTGCTCCTTATGCTTAAAATCTCTTCCTAGTCCGCCTTCCAAAAGCTTCTATTTCCATCTTTAGTTTGGCCACAAGATGGCAATAACTTGCAGACAAAATGCTGAAACAAGCAGACCGATTTGAAACTGTTTCCCTTCCTGAGCTTTTCCTTGCGCTCTTCCCCCCCCCCCCCCCCCGCCTCTTTTGTTTCAATATTTAATTGCATTTGTTTCGGAATTACTAGGCAACCCACCCCCAGATGTGCAGTTTAAAGGTGATGTGCTTGCAGTGAGATTTTCAGGATGTACTCAGCAGAGCACCATCATGTGATACTGGGGTAAGGTGGAGTTCGGCTTTAAGGGGGAGTCTCTAGCCTTCCTCACCAATCTTTAGGATCTCAGCTGGAGAAATACCAGAGAATGCTTCCCCTTTCCCTACTCCTTCTTCTCTATCCAGCCTCCCGAGTCAGCCTCTGAGCAGATCAAAGACGGGCAGAGCAGTTGCAAGGTGAGTTTCCCCTGCGATTGCTTTCCCATGACTGTGGGTGGTTGTGTGCCGGTCAGGCTGGCGTTTGCTTGCTCTCTTAGGTGCAGGTGACAAAATCCAAGGGAGGGGTAGGCTCCAGGTTGGACTTGCAAGTGGCTGGGTGAACCATCGGCTTGGGCTGACAGCATTTTGTGCTTGCTTTGGAATAGCTCCAACAGTTTTACAGTGCATTTCCAGTCACCTCACAGCACATTATTTCACCCTTTCTGTCTATTACTGCTAAACTTGTGTCCAAAATTCTCATGGAGAGTCAGGATGGTGTGCATGGTGGGGGAGACTGTGCAATCACCCAGAGGGGTCTGCAGAGCTATGGGCTTTCCCCATCCCAGGCCAGCATTCCTGGGAGTGGGGAGGGTTCTGCTTCTGACTTGGGAGCTGATGGGGTAGAGGACAAGGAACAGTGCAGCTGTCCAGGACATGCAACTTCATCCCCTCATGGTGTCTGGTCCATTTTGGAGAGGGACAGGAAAGAAGGACTCCTTGTCACTTGCCAGCAGTGCCGTGTTTCTGAGCTGGTTCCCAAACATGCTCTTAGGTTGCATCTCTGCTATGGGGAAAGGTGAGGGAAGAAGGAGTAGTAGCATTTTCTGGTTTTGAGTTTGATATTTAATAAATAAGCAAGAGCAGAGCTTGTCTAAGAGAGTAGAAAAACCAAGAGCCTGAAACCCAGGACACTCTTGCTGGGTGCAGTTTGATCCCAGCTGGTGAGAGAACCTACCCAGTTCCCTCCTTGCCTGTCATCCCATCGAATCACAGGGCTGGACTGCCCACCTCGTGCTGTACAAGTGCAGGTGAAGATCATGGTTAAATCCAGATGTGACTTTTGGACTATGATATAGTCATACTGCAGGAATTGAGAAGCCCTGGCTCTCCACATCACCCACACGCTTTCCCTTTGGGTAAAGCACCTACTTCTGGCTCTGGCTGAAGTGATGCTTCAAGAGGTCTTGGGGGTGGAAATTTCTTTATTGGACCCTAAAACAGATTTGGTGGACTAGAAGATCCAATAAATTTAGTTCGCAGAGGCAGCAAGTCTGAGAGAGAATGCCCAGCTGTGTGCCTAGCTATCTTGAAAATCAGCGTAGCCAAACCTCAGAGATGCCTTTTGTCTGAAATCACTGCTGTTAACTTTCACAGTAAAATGTCACACAAGCTACATTGCCTGTTGTGGTTTCATGCAGCTATGTGGTGATTATAAAGAGCCAGCAGAGATGAGGTGAGCTCATGACGGCGGCAGCAGTGAGAAGACATGGCATTGGCATGGTCATCCTTTGGCTGACCCTCAGAAGGAGCTGGAGCTGCAAGCCCATCCCTCACACACTGGCTCTGCCCTAGGGAGGAGGCAGCCCCAGGTCTGGTCCCCAGCATGTGGTTGGTTAAAAGAGTGTCTGCTGCCAGTAACAGACAAAGACGATTCTTCTCCAGAGACTTAGATGGCACAGAGATTTCTATCGAGTATCATTTAAGATCAAAAGCTCGCCTATTCAGGGTAACTTTTCATGAAGTACATTTTAGTGGGCAATGTTTCTACAGCTTTTGTGATAAATGCCATATGGAGACGTGTTTGAAACGGACTTGTGTGAATTTTAAGAGGCATTACTTTCATTACCATAACCTAAGGTTAAGTGATCAATAAATTTAGCTCATGGCAGAGGGAAAGTTCCAGGCTCAGTGCAGAATTCAGTGCCACTAATGCTGAGTTGAAGTAAAGGTGTGTCAGGTTATTGATTAATTGTTTATTAATTGTTTATCAATTTATTTGATTTTATATTTTAATTTTCCTCCTGAACACACATGCTTGAGTTTCAAATTTTTAAAATCCAAGGCCTTGCAAAAGGATGGTTATTTAAGCATGCTTATTTGTGTTGCATGGCTAAAGAAATTTTCTTCAGTGTTTAAATTTTGCCATCTTTTGTCTTGTTTTGTTCTTCCTGTGCTGCACAGCCCTGTTAGCTGAGATTAAGTTGTTCAGAGTTCCTGATTTGCCTTTGACTCGGTGCCAGTGCTGCTGTGGGCACTCGGTCACTTAACATCAAGTCTATGCATTAGTGAAAAAAGAATACAGTAATTTTTAGAGTCATTTTTCCGCCCCTCACATTGGTCAGATGGGCTTTCCCCACCTCATGTGATGACTGGATGTCATTTCACTTAGAGCAGTTTGAGAAATCAGACGTTTGCAGATTAAATTTATGAAAAGGAGATGTAAAGCATAAAGTGAAGGCTGCGCCGACGAAGTCTGAAAGTGCTTCTCAGCTCGCTATTCCGTGTAACTTGTGCCGGAGGGAACGGGCCGGTGTGGGGTCGTGTCTCCGCTTGCAGTCCCGCGCTTCGGTCCTGCTTTCTGCCTCCTTCCCGCGGACCGCAGCCCGGCTCCCGCAGCCCTGCGCGGGGCCCTGGGGCCGTGCGGGTCCGGCCGGGCCGGGTGGCTCCGCTCCCGCGGGACCCGGGGGCAGGCGCTGTGCCGAGGTGACCGGCCCCGCTCCTTCCCTTCTCCCCAGGTGGTGCGAGGGAGATGCGGCGCTGAGGAGCGGGCTCGGCCCGGGCTCCGCTGCGGGACCGATGGGCGCGTCCTGAACTCGGAGCGGTCTGGATGAGAGCGGCGGCGGCGAAGGGCGGCATCGAGTTGGAAACAACATGAATACCTCGGTCCTCGCCCTACTGGGAAATATTTCCGGTCACCTGAATTTTTCGGAGACGAACTCGCAGATCTTGCAGTTTGAGGACGAGGATTGCCGTGTGCCTTTGGCCATGGTCTTCACTCTGGCCTTGGCTTATGGGACTGTGATAATTCTGGGAGTCTCTGGGAATCTGGCTTTGATTGTCATTATTTTAAAACAAAAGGAGATGCGCAATGTTACCAACATCCTCATTGTCAATCTATCCTTTTCTGACCTCCTGGTGACCATCATGTGTCTTCCATTTACCTTTGTGTATACTTTAATGGACCACTGGATTTTTGGGGAGGCCATGTGCAAACTGAACCCTTTTGTGCAATGTGCCTCCATCACCGTCTCAGTCTTTTCTTTAGTCCTCATTGCTATTGAGCGCCATCAGCTGATCATCAATCCCCGTGGCTGGAGGCCGAACAACAAACATGCTTACATGGGGATTGCTGCCATATGGATTTTAGCCACAGCTTCCTCTTTGCCTTTCCTGATCTACCACGTGTTAACAGATGAGCCCTTTAGAAATGTAACATTTGATGAATATAAAGACAAATATGTGTGCTTGGACCTGTTCCCCTTGGACACTGCCAGGCTTTCTTATACTACAACACTTTTGGTGATTCAGTACTTTGGACCACTCTGTTTTATATTTATTTGCTACTTGAAGGTAAGATAGAATCCTCTTGCAACACAATCCTCTTGTCTGATGTTTGTTTATCCTTGCAAAGATGACAGTGGTAGGTTAATTTATTCCATGTGTTTCTCTTTGTTGAATTTCCTGCAGATATACATACGGTTGAAAAAAAGGAACAACATGATGGACAAGATGAGAGACAGTAAGTACAGATCCTCTGAAACCAAAAGGATCAACATCATGCTGATCTCAATAGTGGTCGCATTTGCAGTTTGCTGGCTGCCTCTCACCATCTTCAATATCGTGTTTGATTGGAATCATGAAATTCTGCCTGTTGCTACCTGCAGCCACAACCTGTTGTTCCTGATTTGCCACCTCACTGCCATGATTTCTACCTGTGTGAATCCCATCTTCTACGGGTTTCTCAATAAGAACTTCCAAAGGGACCTGCAGTTTTTATTTCATTTTTGTCATTTCCACTCCCGTGAGGAGGATTATGAGACTATAGCCATGTCCACCATGCACACAGATGTTTCAAAAACCTCTTTGAAACAGGCAAGCCCAGTCACATTTAAAAAAATAAATAGTGATGATGATGAAAAAATATAAAGGAGTAATAAAAATTCCATACCAAACTGCTTGAAGTGTGATTGCAGGTGAAATGTGTCCAAGGACAAGTGAAATTACATAACAAGTACAAAATGAGTAATGTTTTTCTTCCTTTTCCAAGGAACTTTGATTGTTGTCACTTTGAAATTATACGCTGTGCATTTTTGCCCCTTTTAGTGCTTTAATGTTCACAGAAATTGTATCTGAATTTTATTATAAGACAGAGTTAGACCTGCTACTACCTATGGTTTTCATCTACTGTCTTTTGTTCTGTTCTCTTTGTACAGCTATGTGCTTTAGCAGAAAGGTTTATTTATTGATTATATTTTTTCAAAGAAGTAGTTTTCAGGAGTGTCTATCTAAGACCATTAGAAACAACATGAACCACAGGGACACTGTCACTACAGAGGACACCCACCAAAGAATAAAATGAGGAAATTCTGATTTGAAGAGTAGTTTCTTTCTTTTTTAATTCAGCTTTTGATTGATGTTAAAATCCTCTAAAATCAGTGTAGGCATGCAAAAAAAAGGATTCTGTGAGACCTGTAGAATATGTTTAAATGGTGACGTACAGTTTTCTAATTCACAGTGGCAATTCAGGCTATGATCACTTAGTTTCAAAGAAAGGATTAAGAAAGAAATTCTGTTCTTATTTACAAGAATAAAACCCTATAGTAATACCACAGTGCACAATGGGATAACTCTGATGCTTCACCACAGCAAATGAAAACATAAATAGGCCTTCAGTCCCAACTGATTATAGCTGGTTTTAATAACACAGGCTTTTTAATTTAAAAACCCTAAACCCCATTTTCATCTGCCATCACTGACAGGAGTTAAGTGTTGCTGGGATGAAATATACCATCTGTCCCTGGCCTATGAACCATGTAAAGTTTCCTTGAGACCTATGTCCAGAATCTAAAGGGAGATGGGACTGTTCTCTGTATGGACAAGGTGCAATATCATCCTTGCAGGTGACAGTGAAAATCAGGTCTGATATTAAAAAATATAAGCTTTAGCTACCTGAGTCTTTTCATAGTAATTAGTGTTGACCTATATAAATTATGTATAACCTCAAAATATTCTGTGTTCAGATGCAATGGCATAAACCCAGATAATCTCAGTCTTAAGCTGTGCCAGGGGAGGTTTAGATTGGATATTAGGAAGAAATTTTTTACAGAGGGAGTAATCAGACATTGGAATGGGCTGCCCAGGGAGGTGGTGGATTCACCGTCCCTGGAGGTTTTTAAGCTGAGACTGGATGTGGCACTGAGTGCCATGGTCTAGTAATCATGGCAGCATTGGATCAAGGGTTGGACTTGATGATCTTGGAGATCTTTTCCAACCTGGTTGATTCTATTATTCTATGATTCTAATCTCAAAGACAATGGATGGTTAAATCAAGGTCTGCAAAACTTAAAAGAAGTATATGGATAAAGTTTGGGTATAACTGATATGGTTAGCTTCCAAACTCACAGTTTCCACATTCAGTTGAAGTATGGAATTACTTGTCAAATATATACAATAGAGCTCTGTGTATTACTGCTTAAAGTACATATCCTCTAATTACACAAAATATTCATGACTAGATTCCCAGTTGAGGAAAACCCACATAACTTGACTGCTGTAAATGAAATTACAACAATATTAACCAGCTGAGGTTCTGTGTCATACAGTGTACTTTGCTGTAAAATCAAGGTCTTTTTGAATAATCAGCTTTTTAAAATACAATATAGACCCTACTTTCTTTCAAGAGGATCATTTGAAATCATTATGGCAGACAAGAGGGTCTTTAAGATGGATATAAATGTAAATGCAGCATGAATGGAAATCTGACTTGATACATTTCTGAGCAAAAAGATCTCAGGATGTTATGGTGAATTTAATGTGTTCTAAATTTGACATAGATAAATGCCTAAGAAATTAAAATTATTTGAGTTGCCAGAATTTAAAACTAAAACGCTATGTCTTGTGCTGTCTTATAAATAGTGTAGAATATTAAAGTAGCAATGTGTTCTTGTGCATTATAATTCCATGTATTTCTCTACTGGATTATAATTTAATTTAAAAGGTTTCTGTGCTTGAGAACAGAGATGGAATGTAGAAAATTAATTATAAGACAGAAGTTTCTTTCAGAGCTTTGGCCTTTTGTATTTTATGAGATTTCCTTTTTCTTTGTGGTTCTCTGTGGTATGTGTTGCTACTAATTTGACAAGGGTCTCCCAAAATTTGACAAGGGTCTCCCTCTCACTTTGCAACAATTTTCACCTTCTAAACCATGTGTAGTTTCACAGTGAGATACAATGTAGAAAAACAGCCTTTTTTTATATATTAAGAATGTCACAGTGGGTTTTTCCCATTACAAAAAGAATCACTATGAATTTTTGAATTTTACATGCTTTTTTCCTTTTTTTCCCCTTTTTTTTTTAAAGTTCTTTCTTTCAATGGAGTGGAAGAAGAAAATTCAATTATTTGAGAAACTTTCCAATTAGTTTGCTGGAAATTTTTGATCAGCCTGAATCAGGTGTATACAGAGTAGGTGTTGGAGCAACTTCAGAGGAGCCTGCCAGTGTTCAGGGACCTAAAACAGGTGTGTGCTAAAATTTGGAGATCTTCAGTGGGATAGCAACATATTTCTTCCTATGTCAGCATTTCTCCTGCTTGAGGTCCAATCTCAAATCCTGCAGCCCATCTGATACTGTGTCCTGAGAATGTGTCAGGTGTTTTTCCCTCCCAACACCTGATAAACAAGGTGAACTGTAAATGGGAGGATTCCTTCTGCTCATCTTTGTTAAGCTCAAGGAACCATTTTTCCTCTGCGCTGCTGTCCTAGAATCAGGCTTATATTGTTTCCCTGCAAGAAACCTTTCTGAGCCTCTGCTAAGGACGCAGGCTGGTGCATTGTCATACAAATAGCACAGTGTGCTCTGCCTCAAACGACAGTGTAAAGGAATACAGTGTAAAGAGTGTCCAGCAGGAAAATGCATTCGGAGAATTTCAGAGTCAAAATCATTGCTCTTCTGAAGAATTTATTATGAGATAAAAGTAGTCTCTCTGAGGTGCTGACCTGACATCCGCAGGGCATAGATCATATCTACTGAGAGCGGTATTTTTGTCCTTGTATTCGTGACTTGATGCTGGAGTTCTCAAAAGCCTCTGGAGACTTTCCCTTCCCAACAACCAGAGGACCAATATTGATCCTCTCTTTTATTTTCGTGCTCCAGCATGGCTTGTCATCCTCTATATGCTAAATTTCTTTACAGGGTAAGCTGCTTTCACGTTTCACTATAATTTTTCAGTCATTCTGGTTTGATATTTATTTCTCCTATGTGCTGTTTTGTCAAACATCCCACATTTCAGCACATGGTGATTCCTATCTCAAAAGCCTGAAAATCCCTTTTATTCTTTCAGACTGGTAGAGAAGTTTTACTGACGGAAAATCAGAACAGTGAGTGATCTATAACGTATCTTATTATTTATGTGTCATACATTTCATGTCAAATCTACAACCTTAAATGACAAATGGAACTATTTAATAAACATTATTATCTGCTTCATTTATCTGTTATTTTAGCACCTTAAACTTCAGTTTTATTGACCACAGACATTTCAAGCTTCTGCATAATCTAAATAAACCAGCATATGTATGTCATGTTAATAAATACTTCTGTATTCCCATATTGGTTTTTTTTCAACATATCTCTTGATTGTGTCATTGTCACTACATATGGTAATTCACAACTTTCACATCAACAGTAAAAAAAAGGATAATAATAAAGGAAACAATTAATTGGCAATACCTGCCTTTGGTAGGCCAGGAAAGAACTGGATATTAAAAAAAAATATCTATATGTGTATAATCAACCCTGTTTTTATCACCATATAAAGAAATCAGATTTAAACTAGGAAAAGGAATCAACTTGACAGGACCCCCCAGATCTCTTGAGCTGATGCTGACTGTATCTCATCACTGATGAAAGTGTGAAGGGTAAGGATTCATACATTCTGACTCTGTGGTCTTGGACTACAGTTCCAGCTATTATGAATGGATCCTAAAGGCATAATGATACTGATTCATATTCAGACTGTAAATCAGCATATGTTTAAATCCAGGTCTGTATATCAAGTTCTCATTCTAACCCCAGGAAAGTGTTCTCAGATCAATGAAACTGAAAAATTTGCTTAAAGTTAACCATTTGCCTAGGCACTCTACTGAATAAAGGTGCACTGTTGGCTGGCAGCTCACGGTCATTCCTAAAAATCAGATTTTGGATATTAGCTTATTATAGAAATAAATTAATGGCATATAGTTGTTTGACCTTTTTTTCTGGATTGTTCTATGGATTTTTTTTCTGTGGTACAGTGCCTGATAATGGTTCTTTTTAAAGTTTTCCTTCCTATTTCTTTCTATCAAAGAATTTACTGAACTAGTGCATAGAGAATGAAGACAATAAGGAAACTTTTTTCTTTTATTCTTATTTTTAAAGCATACATAACAGTAGGAAACAAGAGCTTAAATAACATCTCTTGTTTGCAACAGATTACATTCACTCAGCTGAGTGGAAAGGGGAGAGAAATAACAATTATAACAAAACAATAAATTTTGTTGATAGTCATTTCTCAGTTGAAGGATATGTACAACTCCAAGATCTACCATGTCATCTTCATTCTTGTGTTCTTTAACATGTGATATCTACTTCCCTGAGTCATTACTAATTAGTCAAGTCATTACTAAAGTTGATATGAAAGAAAATTCTTTTCTTCTATCCAGGTTTTGCAGAATTTTAAATGTTTGATTATTACATGCAAGAGGAAAAAGTGTGACCAGCTTTAGTTTCTAAAACTTTAATTAACCTCTGATCAGAAATGACTTCTATTCAGTATTTCTACCCATGCAAAATACTGTTAATGGCCTAGTTGAAGGTGATATTTCAAATATTAGGGAGTGCATTCACAAAGACTGACTTCAGCTGAAGGATGGCAGCTTTACTGGTCTCCTCCAGAGGAAACCAGAGGGCATTCACACCTACACTACTCTGGGTGCTATGAATCTACCAAAATGGCTTTCTCTCCGTTATCAATATGGGCTGCTAAGGGACAGCCAGCTTCCAGGGCCAGCACTAGGCCTGGTGACTACTGCTTCCCTTCCTCCACCTTACATGATGCTTCTGCTCTCACTTCATATTTCAGCCTCTTGATAGCTGCTTTCTGAGGAAGCTGTAGGAATTTGTACTCTGATTTTGTGAATGCCTGAGTATATGGTAAAAATCAACTCTATTCAGGGCAGTGCTTTAAATAGTTTCTTTCATTAAAATTATCTTCCGGCAAGTTTCTGGTAGGCAAGTTTCTCAAAATTTAGAAGTACATAATCTAGAAAACTTATGTAGGATATATGTTCATACAGAACATCCAGCTCATTGTAGCAAAACTGACAGCACATACAGTTTTGTGTTTTCCAAATAGATGAGTTGATGATCTGGTTATTTGACATAGGTCACGCTTAGTTGCAAGAAATTTGCACCAGATGCAAATGTGTTTGAGACTGATGCACAGGAGAGGGTCTGCATGGTAAACTA